TAGCTTCTTGCTCCTAGTAGAAAGGCCAGGAGCCCCTAGTAGCGTCCATGCTCCTAGTAGCGATGCCCTGAGATGCTATGAATACATTAGCACATGACGCACCGATGAGTAGCTTCGCCTGCGCCTATGATTCATATTTCAGTGTCCAAGTTCTACGCAAAGCGCTTTAAAATGCTCAGTGAAAGCTGTGTTGCCTTGGAGCAAGTACTGCAGCACTTTTGTGGGCCCCAAGGACACTCGGAAACCATCGATGGCATCGAAAACAGCCTTAGCCCAGTGGCAAAAACTTGGACCAGCACAGATCAACAGCGCCCAGACTTGCTTTTACATATAGTATGTGAATCAAACACCCAAAATGTATTCACCAATGAAGATTCCAGTTGGATTCACTCCAATCAAACCAAAATGGATTTCTTCTGGATGCTTAAGGCTTCAAGGATCAGGCCATAATCAAGTGAGGCGAGTTTTCAAAGACGTTCGGCCAAACGTAGTTCATGAGGTGCTGCAGCGCATCCTGGCCGTCTGTCCATATGATGCATTTCTGTGTAGGAAAACCCCAACAGTTTCAGGCAAGACATTTATTTCTGCTGGGACCTGCTATGTCAGAACTGCGCCTCGCAACCCAGACCGTGAACGCCTAGAGCAAGGTGCTTGCAAGTCCATGCAGCAGTTTGCCTCACACAAACGACGGAGGGAGACTGGCCAAAAGTTGGTTTGGGGGGTGAGTCCCGGGGGTGAGTGTGCATTTTGCAATCAACTCATTAATCCAGTGATTTACAAACAGTTGGCTATGCTATTGACAGAACCAATATTGTCACACCCCAGAGCAAACTGGCCTATGCACAAGATCCCGATCCATGAGCGCATCCTCCAAGATGGGAGTGACTGCATAAATGTAGTCCTGGCCGATGGTGACCGTGATGTCCAAGCAATTTGGACCCTGGTGGTGGGTTGTCAGGTTGCTTGAAGTCACTGAAGTCCTTGGCCATCTCTCCAATGTACTCGAACATGAAGCTAAGGCTTTTCAACACTCCGTTCCTCGGACAAGGCGTCTTCCGTGAAGTTCGAGCTGGTTCTTTTGCAAGGAAAACATGTGATGAGTGCTCAGACGCTCTACCAAACAAGCCCAAGAAAAGTCCCCAACAGCTCAAGGCCAATTTCACACCCTCCGGAAGGTCCGGAACCTCCTCCGGAACCTCCTCCAGAACCTGCTCCGCAACCTCCTCCGGAACCTTCTCCGGAACCTGCTCCGGAACCTGCTCGGCAACCTGCTCCGGAACCTCCTCCGGAACCTACTCCGGAACCTGCTCCGGAGCCTGCTCCAAATCTGCTCCGAAGCCTTTACTATGGCTGAAGACCCCGAGCTTCGCTGTTGGGGAAGAATGAAAGTGCGTCTTAATTGCAAGACAAATAAACTCCAAGCAGTTGCATGAAGACAAGTTGAGCATACCCATAACAGCCGTCTCATTCTGCCACAGTATGCACCAAATACCCATACATATCCATGCATTCCAAGTGTCTGCACGTTCAGTTCAGGCACCCGATATTCATTCATCAGAGCTGGCCTCAGACATGGCCGGTGTCGGCAGTTGGTCGGTGCAGCCATGGCCTTTCTGCCCTAAGCTTTGGGCAGCACGGTGAACGGTCCACAGGTCTCTGCAGTAATGGCAATTGCCACCTGTCAGCCAGCTGCAATGGTTTGCTGTATTCAGTTCAGCAGTGTGTCACGCTGCCCTTCCAACAGCCAACACCTTGCTTGACCTAAAGTGTTCTCTTCCGGGGCAAGAGGTCTTGGGAGATTTCAGAAAGGAGGCTTCTATTCACCCGGACGACTTCCTCTGAAATCAAGCTCGTCTCGAAATTGCTGAGAGCTGCACCGTGGTGCAAATTCGGAGCTGACGCTCCTGCACCTTGAGGTTGTTCAGCAAAGTGCTGAGAACCTAAGGAGTGGTCAAGAGTGGTGAGGAGTGGTCTGAGTATGTAAATCAAATGAAGCAAATGAGACAAGAATGAGAAACAGATCGACTTCAAGTCTCACAAGCTGGATTTGCTGTTGATGCTTCGATCCTGAGAACGCTGCATCATGGGGGCCAATGGCCTTTGCAATGTAGCCGAAGGTGTTCACCTTAGTATCTCAGAGGAATCAATCAAGGAATATCCTGCACGCCAACTAAATTGTGTTGTTTTCCATGCTGCACAAGCTTCTAATAGAAGGTGTTGACAACAAAAACAACACATGTTTGAATTCCTCAGCTTCCCAGCTGTTGCTCTGCGAATGGCCTTCTTGTGTGCCTACCAGCAAGATCCCGTCAGTGCACAGTGACCATAGCCGCGGGTGTGACCCCCTGAGTGCTATCAGATTCAGACTGATTAGTTCAAAAGCCTCCAAGGCTTAGCCTCTCTACCCGCCTTCAAAAGCTCCAGCAGGTCAAAGCAAATGCGGTTCCACTCTCGTGGTGGTGCCAACTCCGCACCGCGATCGGCAATCCTTGCATGATGTTGCTTGGGCCACTTCAGCACAACAAGTAGTCTTCAATATCACATAGCACAACCGGTATAACTCCGAAATGTAGCCACTCTCCTTCCAACCAAGTCAATGCAGTTCTCCTGCCAGGAGAGATAAACTAATGTCAAAAGAATGCCACCTTTACTCAATAAGACTCCATGATATACATATATATATATATATTGAAGCAAGTGCTGAAAACTGGTCCTGGACTTTCTCATGTCTGTTCTTCAGGATGGGGGTCAACCTGGGAAGGAGATCCTGCAAGCGTGCGGCTGCACAAATCGGCGATGTTATTATCATCTGAATCTTAAGCTTTAAGGAACATCTTGCAAACCAGACAACACCCGTTAGCAGTGGCACATAAGCCTGTCTTTTCGGGTTCTGCGTTGAAGCTTGTTTTTGGTGGACCGTTTTGGTGTTCCAAGAGCTGCCTGTCTTTTGCGCCCAGCGACTGTGCTTGCATTACATAAAGTATCATAAAGTGTTGGTATGCGGTATGCATTTGCGGCACAAATTCGTATGTTCAGGGCTCTTGAAAAGTTCAGAAGAAGACATGATGTTGGTGATGGTGTGGTTTGGATTGGTTTGGTTTGTTTTTTTGGTGTGCATCTCAGTGCATCTCCATCTCTTATGACAGCTACTGCACAAACACCAGATACATAGAGCTAAGGGAGCGGAGATGAGTTGTTGACGAAGTGCCGTATCGCAAGGATCGTGCATGTCTAAAGGGTGTGTGGTGCATGTCCAAGTAGTGGAGGATGAATATATGTTGGGAGGTCCGTGCAAGGGATCCAAAATTTAGTATCTCAGGAAGATTGACAATGATAATGATGTTGTTGCCAGTCATTTCGCTCCATGGATGCTTTACGAAAACAAGTTGTGCGCGCGAAACTCCTAGCAGCTCAAGGCTTCAAGTTTGCTCCGTGCATGCAGCATAGCCGGACCATGACGGACCATTCTTGCAGCACCAGGAGGCACATGTCTTCCGCGATGAGAAAAAGTCTTTAAACGCCACGAGAACATCAAGGATATGCAGATTCATCAAGGTGAGTTGGTGAGAGATTAAGTCCTAAAGCGTGGGCAGCACAAGAAGGTTCTCATCGACCAAAAAGGTGGTGCAAAAGAGGTGGGAGTGGAGGCCTGATTTGGGGGACAGAAAAAGAAACAGAAAACAAAAACCCTTTACAGTAATGAGATCCTCTTTAAAAGGGCATTTTTGAGGAGGGGTTCTTCCCCTTTTTGGTTTATCTGTTTGTTCTTCCTCCTCTCACGTGTGGAGGCAAACCCCGCATGGCGTGGTTCCTTGATCGAACAAGTGTTGTCTTTCAAACAGCTTCGCAGCTTCGCGTCCGATGCCCTTGCTACTAGTAGCTTCTTGTTACTAGTAGTATCTAGTAGTAATGCCAGGAGCGCCCCTAGTAGCTTCTTGCTCCTTTTGTAGCGATGCCCTTTGTTCCGTTCGTAGCGTCCTTGTTACTAGTAGCGATGCCAGGAGCCCCTAGCAGCGATGAAATCTCCGATCGGAGGCGCCATGTTCCTTGATCGGTGGCGTCATCTTCGTCATTCCAATGACGTTGACGATCGCCTTCAAGGCGCCCAAAATGGAGCCTGCCGTCACCCCGCGCTGTGCATCCCGGGCGCAACGGATCCATTTGGGAATCACTTCGTTTCGAGCAGCCAGGGCTCGAATAGAAGCTTGTCAGAAATCTAAGGTGACCACCCAGCACTTCAGGATACTCTTCACCAAGGTACTCATACAAGAAGAGACCCAAGTGCCTCAGAGACTTTTAAGCATGACAAGAAATCACCCAATTTCGAAGAAGGATGAACATAGCACACCACCAACACCTTTGGTATCGTTTGGTAATCTGAATCAGACTCTTGGCTTCCAGCCCCATCATCTGCTCCTCGCCACATTGCTTCATCACCACAGCGATTCTTGCAATGAGGTCTGCTGCTTGCTGACCTCAAGCTGCTGTACTGAAGCAGTCATGGAAGAGAACGTAATATACATAATATGACAAATCCAAAACAGTTGAACCTTGCGTGCACCTCCACATGGGTGAGTTGGGCTCGAAAATGAAGATCATTGTAAAAACGACAAGTCATGGTGGAAGTTCAAGCATGCACACATCTACAGGACTTCGTTGATGCGCAAACATGGATCTGTATTGCGTGTCTGAGTGCTCAGTGCTATGAATTTGAGACCCTTACGCACACGTGCAGATGGAGTGTTCAGCCGCCACCTGCAGGACATCAACAGGGCTTTCAAAGAGTCTTTTGACGGTGGGGTGTTGACAGTGGGGTGGTCATCTTGTCACCTGATGATACCAGCAATCTGGGGCAGGTAGGGCTTCACACCTGCAGAGGCTGGACTGGCAAATCAAGAAGTGCTGCACGAGAAATTGTTGCACACAAAGTAAGCAAAACGGAAGAACACACACAAACATCCCTCTTTCTTCTCATATTCGCGATTCATTTCGGAGCGACTCTTTGATTGAGGTTGCAACGAGGCCCCAAAGAATTCACCACGGTGCCGAAGCCATTCAGCATCACGGTGGTGTCATCTGATGTCTGCTCCTTTAGGGTGATGTGTTGTCATCTCGATAGGATATACTTATATATCATCTTTTTACACCTTTACGAAACGCCAGCAGTGAACTGGATGCCAACAACTTTGAGAGATGCCAGATGCTCAGAACTGCCTGTGCAAAAGAAGGAACTGAAGGTACACTCCAAGTTGTCCACGTGGAATGCCCCCCAAGAAGACCGGTTTCCCCTAAATAAAAAGCACCATGTTCAAGTTCCTTTTAGTGTGTCAGAGTGGGAAGAACAAACAAAGAGGCACACCCCGCTTCTGATGTTTGCATTGCTTGGAAACAGAGGGTAACATGTTAAAGCCGATCAAGCACCGTCCTACAAAAAAGCGGCATGGTCACTTTTTGTCGTCCGCCTGCGTAACTTTAGTTTCTAGGGGCTGTGCCAGCTCGAGGCTGCGCCCGCAAAAGGGACAAGCTGCAAATCAAAGCTCATCCCATTCAGTAGCTGCAAAATTTGCAGAAATAAGATTAGTTGCGTATGTCGAATTGGGAGTGCGAGATTTTGCTAGCTCGTGCGTCCACTCTGTGAAGCGTTCTTTCATATTTCCCTGGATCAACGCATCTGCTATCTGCTCAGCTGTGAAGTTCATGTGCTTCACAAGCCCCTGCCAAACTGCAAGGACTTCTGTCGCTCTTGCTCTGTACTCACAACCCACGCCAAACAAATGCAAGTCTCCCATTTCCGGGAAAGTGTCCTCAAAAAGGCATTCGTGAAAGCGCTTTGCAATCTGCAACGCTTCCTGCTTCTCGAGTTCTTTTTTTCTCTCTTCTGTCTGCCGGGTCCCCATGTGTCGTTTCGGTGCAGGTTCGGGTGCCTCTTGCAGAAGTCGAAGATGTTCAGGTCTGATAGCCGTGACGCGTTTTCCAGGGAACTGAATACCCACGCGGTCCCTGCTGTACTGAGAAACGGTGCCCTCCAGGCCATTCAGCTCTTCGGTTTTAAGACCCTCTGCAACTACTACACTCTGCTTTGGAAACTGCAAAGACAGAAATCCAAGAGGATGCTCATCAACATGCTCTCGTACGAACCTCTGAAATGCTCGAGGCTCTAGAATTCGATTTGTAACTTCAGTGAAATGGTCCTCCTCCTCTCTGGCCTCTTCCATCCAGTAATCCATGTAATCACAAATCAAGTGAAAGTCAGGCCTGGAAAAGGGGATATGGTCCTTTCTTGCAAGTACCACAGGTGGCGCGGGACCTCGTGTGCCACCATACTGCCACTCTGCTGGAGCTAGGCCATCAGAAGTGTCTGACATAAATCGGACGATTGCATTTGATCGAATGGACGAATCATCGCCTCCAGTTCCAGACTGCACCTTGTAAAGTACGGGGATCCCAATCTTTTCTGGGACTGGAACGGACCTGAAGGTCTCATCAAGCTTCACATCAACATCTGTCACATCTGGCCCATGGACGCGCACGCCGAGCACCATGGTAGTCAGACTCACAGTGTTTGGGCCTTTAACAGCTTCAGCCCGGTCAAAGGCTTGCAGAAGTATTCCTTGATATTCATTTGGATCACGTGGCTAATGGACAATTGTAGCTGCAAGCAGCTTTGCCGCATTGGCCCCTACGGTTGACCCCCCCCCCCGAGGCACAGCGATTGACAAGTTGGAGCTCCTGGAAGGCATAGACAATGCCATCAATGATTTGCTCCTGCGAAGGGAGGGCTGATCGGTTAAAGTATGTTAAAGTAGTTCCAGAAGTTACAAAATTGCACAATGAATTGGAACCGCTGTTCGTTTGGTGAAGAAGACTATCTAGAAATCCCGACACATTCATGAGCTTCCCTGCCTCAAGTCGTGAGTCGATATCCGCGACACCCAAGTTCCCAATAACCTGAAACAGTGGGACTGCAGCGCACTTCAAGAGAAAGGTCACTCCAGCATGCACACGCCTTGTCAATTGTCTCCATGACCATCTTCCGGTATGGTTCTGAGGCATCTTTGAGGTCCTGAAACATCACAGATAGCAACTACTGGTACAGGACTTTTCAATCGTGACTGTGAGAAAATGATCGAGTTTTCCAGGCTGCTTGCCTCCACAATTCTGCCAATAATGTCGGCACCTCCAACCTCTCACAATCGAGAAATTGACAGGAAAGCGTCTTCTTGCGAGGCCAACAAGCTGTGCAAATGATGCAGCACAACTCTGCTCAGCATGAAAAGAACCACCATGCTGAGTGAAATCCTGCACTGATGTGCTGCTCGTCCGAGTCCCAAAAGTCGGCATCCCTTGTTCCACCGACTTTTTGCTCCAGCTCCAGGATTCTTTTTGTTTTACTCCGCGCCAGCTAGGGTTTGAAGCAAAGGTGTCTCCAGGAGTGGCTCTTGCATGGCCTGCAACATGCACAACCGGTGGTGGTCTATCGCATGATGTCACCTCAAACCGATCTGTACCAGGACCTGTCACATGGTTCTGGTGTGCATCGGCTCAGCTTAACTTCGTAAAGGCAAAGCTCTGCACATCATGAGGCCTTCGGATAAGAGGTCTTCAATCCATCAGGACGTCCACTGGCAGTGATTCGAAAGTACACATTGACACGGTCCTTTGCAGTGACGGGTGATTCGCTGGGCATACCAATGACAGTGATTCGCTATAGTCACCGATGAAGAGAGAGATTCGCTCAACAAAGCTCTGGACTGTGTTTGAGTGATTGGGCCCAACTCCATGCACTGTCTGGTGGTGCATCAGGATGGCTTCTCCAGGACTCGCCTCAAATGTTGGTCTTCTTGGAGTGAACGTGACTTCGCACATTTCCTAATATTTACTTTGGAATCGTTGGCCTCAATGTATATAGGTGTCCATTTTCCTGCGTGCCTGCGTGCCTGCGTGCTTGCCTGCGTGGGTGTGCGTGTGTGTGTGTGTGTGTGTGTGTACGCCTTGCACTCAGAGGTTGTCCTCAGTTTTTTTATGTAAAGCATGTGGAGCCAGGGATGCACACTAGACTGGAAAATGCCAGACAGAGTACATGCTTTGTTGTGATGCTCTTGAACTTGCTCAGGCAATTCGTCACCGAGACATCTTCAGGGATCTTCAGGGCATTTGGCGGCATACGTTCTATCTCAAGTGTGTGCTACCTAGCTAGTGCACCGAAAGCAAGATGGGGCGACGGAGGCTCCTCTCTCCCCGCTCCGCTCAGCTCGCTTCGCTTGAAGCTACTGATCTGATTGTGCTGCGCAACACTCTCCGGCGAGACTGTGATCTCAAGCAATCTGAGTCGTACTTGCAACGCTTCAGCTACATATATAGTACACGGAAAACTGTTGCCATGTGCGTGGGTGCGCGCGTGGATGTGGCCAAAGAAATGCAGGGTTTATCCAAGGCTCTCGGACGGCTTCCATCTTCGGATCCTCTTCACCAAGGTAATGCTCAGTAATGTTGGGATGCCTTGCACACCAATATGCGTTTCATTGAGAGATTGACTTGTCGCATGGTAAGCAATGCTGAAATGTGGTTGTAAAGATTCGATGTATACATTCTGAATAGCTCCTACAGAGCCTGTCTGACTGCTGGAAGCCCTGCTGCCTAGCATGGACAAATCGACCCATTCTCTGCTAAAGCCAAGGCTCCAAGGCACCTTCCCTTGAAAGGCTTGAAAGGCCTTGGCCAACTTCTGGTAGGAGCCCGGTGCCAAATACCTTAGTGTCTGATGATGTCTGATGTGCCTCTGTACACTGACGGCTGCTTTTCTCCAATTGAGCTCACGTTTCTATCCAGGCACAAGTTTCCTGCGTCAGATCTCGTTTTGGTTTCACCACTGAGCACCTCAATGGCCAAATGGGTAGACAAATCAATCGTGCTGGGGTCGATGGTTGGATCAGTACTACTCCGAATTCAGACCAGGTGCTACTCCAAACAGTACTGAATAATTGGATGTCGGCTTGCCTGCATCGCATTTGCATCGCGTGTGCATTGCACTTGCATCGCAACAACTCGGGACAGCAACCATCGCACGGTCGTAGCAGCTCGTCCATTGTACCGTCTTGCAGTCTGCCTGGAGGCGTTTGCTTTGCGCTACTTTGGTCAATATGTCCCACACGGGAGCTTGACATCCTGAGAACAGGACGCGAGAATCACTGGTGAAAATCAATCGTTATGTTGAAGAGGGAGAATGCGCAAGCTATGTATATATATATACATAGTGAAATCATGTGAAATCAAAGGAAATGATCGCGTTCAATCAAACGCCTCAGACTCATAGCTCTTAATCTTCAAGCAAAGATTCCGGGCAAGATCAGTGTAGCCTTCGAAACCTGGAACAAATGTCCCCTGCTCAGAATCATCAATGAATTAGGCCTCTACAAGGGTATGGAAAAAGGATGAAAAAGGAAACAGAGTGCGAACTCCTAGGAGCAAAGGGCATCGCTACTAGGAGGACGCTACTAGGGGCTCCTGGCCTTACTACTAGGAGCAAGAAGCTACTAGTAACAAGGGCATCGCTACTAGGAGCAAGGACGCTACTAGGAGCTTTTTCGAACGAACCGGACACAAACCGGCCTGGACGTTTCACGGCAACTTGGACCTGGGATGAGTGTCTCCGGGACTCACATCATCTGTCGCACTGGACTCGCACATTTACATGGCAAAGTCCAAGAGCCAAACAAGAAAAACAGCCAGTGTCAAAAAAAATGCATTACAGTTCTTTGATCGATCTACTGCATGCTTAGATGTCTTCCTGCCTTCAAACTGTCGGAGGGTTCCAAAATGGCCAGAGCCAGCATGTGTCTGGGTCTCTGTAGCGCCAAGTCACTTGGTTGTGGTGGCCATATGGAGAGTTGTTCGAGCCAGGCAGGACGATACCCTCCAGCAGTTGGTGCAAGAAAGGCAGGTATCTGTTCAGCAGCCTGGCAAGTAGCATGGCTTCTGTGGGCTTCTGCCTTGTACGGGCGCTTACTATTCATGAATCATTACAACTTTGTCCATGCTCATGTGTTCTGTGTTCAGGGCATTGATGATCAGACCTGCGAGATCTATTAGGTGCATTTAGAATGTACATATTGCACACCAAGCCGGGTTGTGTGCTTTTCAGCCGCTCGTGCCAGGAATGCGAGAAGAGTAGCAACTTGTCTGGTGTGCTACTGCCACGCAAGAAGACAAACTCACCCTGGTTGTCACCTGACTGTTGCAAGTCGTTCTCACAGTGGTGTCTCCGCGACCCGTGCCACAAGTCAGGTTTCACAGTCAGCTGCGTTCCAAGTCTCTGCTTCTAGACCCGGAGCGCACACGTTGTGCTGCAGCAAGAGCTAATTGGACCTACAGCAGAGGCAAGCCCTGTGCAATCCTTCACTCCTTTCTTTTCGTCTGTCTGTACACATTCTTCCGTGATAAGAGGGAGTATTGTCACACAATAAACACAAAGGACAAAAGCGCGAGGAGAATGGGGAATCATGTCGGCATGAGGTGAAGGTGTCCCACCATGAAGTTGAAGCTGTAAAAGTTGATTCCTTGGCCTCAAAGCGTTCACGACCAGTCGAGCCGAGCCTCCTTGTCCCTCCACAGAGGTCGAAGGATGCAATACCCATTTTCCAAGTAGGCCTGCAGAAACGTTTCTGGGCCTTGAAAGCAGCTGCGGAAATGTCCCTCACACGGACAGGCCTGCGCATCAAAGCCTACCCTTTTGGCTTCTTTGCGGAAAGATTTCAAATTGCACTCTGCTTTGTAGTGCCTCGAAGAAGTGGTGATCTTGTGTAGCCACAAGGGAGTGTTTGTTTCTGTGTCAGTAGTAATAAAACAAAGATTGCACTAGTTCTATATAGTCATACTTACTCCAAGTCCACTTTGCACTTCGAGCAGGAAGCAACCGAAAGGATGTACAAGAATTATATAGAAATATGGTGTGGTCTCCACTGATGCACCAAATGTAAGCGTTGCTTCGTTTTCCAAGCAACGAGATAGGTTTGCCAAGTGGGCTTCTTGCAGCATGCGCAGTAGTCGTTGGCCCCGCTGATCTCAGCACAAACAAGAATAAACAAAATGGGTATCCTGTATCCTGTTCAAAAAGAATTCGAGTGGGGCTCCAGTGTTGAAAGACTACCAAACAAGCGATTCAGAGCTATAAATCCAGGCAAGGGTGCACTTTGGCTGCAAGCTTGTTAGGCTTCTGAACTTTTCGGCCTGGGAAGAATTCATCGAAGTTGACATGCCTGATGGGTATCTTATACAGATCTGCTGGGACATTACCATATCTTGGAGCATGACCCTGAAGCTTCTGCTTCTTTGGCATGGCAAAAGGAGTTGGGCAGTTTCTTGCCAAATGGTCTGGTTAGAGTTCTATCAGAGCACGACCGATTTGGTTTCGTTACGTTTCGTTTAGGGCGTTCTGAATTCTATTTATCTTTCTGTGTCAGCAGGCAACAAGCATGTTTTGCTCGTGTCGGTAGACATCATCAAGTATTCTCATCGACGGCGAAATCCTCGGACAACTAGTGCAATTGGAGCTGAGCCGATATTTGCAAGCTGCGGAGCATGTGCTCTTTTGTTGTCAAGTTCGAAGAAAGAAGGAAGAAAGGAAGGTCCAAAGCATCATGGCCCTCACCGTCGTTTGGAAACGTTTGGACCATGCGCTCAGGCGTCTTCAAGGAAGCTGTCCCGCCCTGAGGCGGGAGAAGTTCCCCTTTGAGGAATCGAGATCTTATGCATGCTAGTCACTTAGCTTACTATACCTTATCAACCTACCCCCATTTCCAAATAGAAAAGTGAGACGCAAATCGACCTTGTTGGCGATCTCCACCGTGGTGTCGACCAGCTGTCGGTAGTTACGCCGATCCAAGGCCATCCTGACCTGAGACAAAAATGCCGACAGGAAGTGTCAAAGAGAGGTCCGTGTGATCAAAAGAGCCCCCCAAAAGAACTAATGGCCATGGCCTCCAACCTAATAGCGATGGCCTCCAACCTAAAAGCGATGGCCTCCAACCTGAAAGCGATGGCCTCCAACCTAATAGCGATGGCCTCCAACCTAATCGCGATGGCCTCCAACCTGGTAGCGATGGCTCCAACCCGATCGCGATGGCCTCCAACCTAATCGCGATGGCCTCCAACCTGGTAGCGATGGCCTCCAACCTGGTAGCGACCTCCAACCTAATAGCGATGGCCTCCAACCTGGCGATGACCTCCAACCTAATAGCGATGGCGAAGGCTTCCAACCTAATAACGACGGCCTCCAACCTAATAGCGATGGCCTCCAACCTAATAGCGATGGCGAAGGCTTCCAACCTAATAGCGATGTCCTCCAACCTAGTAGCGATGGCCTCCAACC